AAATTGAAGTCATACCAGATATAAAATTTGCTAATAAAAAGATGTAAATTATATTGAGAAATTTTTCGAGCAAAAATAATAAACATTAACAAAATAATTGATTTTTTTTTTAAAAAGATGAGTTATACATTTTTTTTGACACACACGTTTGATGTACGTTTAATTGTTTTCGATATTTATTTAGATCATTCGATGTGTCTATGATATAGTTCTCAAAATGAGCTTCAAGAAGATATAAAAGATTTATGGATTCGACTAGCGTATAACCGTAGAAAAATTTTTAAAGTTAGCTTGTTATCAAAATTCTCGAAATATTAGTTTGAAACGGCCTATTTTGACGTGTTGTAACATTTGTTACGATTGGTCGTTTCGCGCACCATTAACTATGTGAAATACTAGTCCATGAGTACTTCAAAATGATATTAAGAATTTAATATTTCGACTTCATTTGATATACTGTAATGAGTTCGAAAATGAAGACAAAAGCCATAAGTAATTTGATGAATTTATCATATAATTCCCTCCAAGCCAACAGTTCTTACCTTTTCCACCAGCCGCCATTTCCTTTTCCTTTCATCCCACACTGACACGTGACCAATTTTGAAATTCTGAAGGGGTTCTGTAAGATTTCTTCTGTACGTCTAGCTTAATCCTCTAGCATATAGGTCAGAAAATCAGGACCATAAGATTTTTCTGTCCTTTCCCATTTGCTGTGTCTAATCTCAGTCTCCTCTTCTAATTCTTCGTCCTGACTATTTTCAGTCATAGTCTCATATGTTCGTTTAGAGGAGCTGGCTTTCTCTTTGGACCTGTATGGAAATTCTTTTTCAAAAAATGAAGCATTCCTTGATTCCATTACCGTGTTTTTGTGTATGTCTAAAATTTTTGAATCATACACAAGAAATCGATAAGCACTGCTATGATGTGCATAGTCAATGAAGAAGTAGTCTATAGTTTTCGGTCCTATCTTTATCTTCTTTGGTGTTGGAATAGCCACTTTAGCAAGACACCTCCACACTCGCAAGTGTTTATAGGTAGATTTTCTTCCTTTCCATAACTCATAAGGGGTCTTTTTCGATTTTTTTCGGGGCATCTTATTTAAAAGGTAATTTGCTGATAACACAACTTTCACCCACATGTTCTGAGGTAATTCAGAACTTACTAGCATTGCATTCATCATTTCTTTTAAGGTACGATTTTTTCGTTCAGCTACACCATTTTGTTGCGGTGAATAAGGTGCGGTGGTTTCTTGTATGATTTCGTGTTGTGCACAGAAATTGAAAAACGGTGCTTCATACTCACCACCTCGATCACTTCTTAGTACCTTACTTTTTTTATTAAGTTGAGTTTCAACTTCATTCTTATAGAAAACAAATTTCTCTATAACTTCATCCTTGCTTTTAAGTAGATACACATAGCAATATTTTGTGCTATCGTCAACAAAAATAATAAAATACTTGTTGTCACATCTTGTTTGTACAAGTTTTAAGTCACAAACGTCACTGTGAATTAAATCAAGTGGTTCTGTGTCCCGTTCAACTGACTTAAAGGATGCCATTTTCAATTTTGTCTCAACACAAGTTTCACATTTATGTTCTGAATCATTATGGAACTTGGGCATGCAATTCGAGTTAACTAGTTTACGTAAAGTATCATAATTAACATTTCCTAATCTACCATGCCATAAACTGGAAGACTCAAGCAAATAAGCAGAAGAATTTGCTTTATTCATTTTTGGTTTCACAACCATTACATTCAAGTTAAATATACTGTCGAAAATATAACATTTCCTGACAAACATTCCACCTTTTGATATAATGACTTTGTCTTACTCAAATACAATGCGAAAACCATGCTTATTCAAAAGTGATCCGGACACTAAATTCTTGTGAATTTTCAGCACATACAACACATTGTTAAGAGTCAGCTCTTTTCCCGAGGTCATCTTCAGAACCACCTTTCCTTGACCCTTGATTTCAGAAGTTGCTAAATTTTCCATGAAAAACTTCTCCCCATTCTCGATTGCTTCGAACGTAGCAAACAACTCTTTAGCAGAGCACACGTGCCTCGTAGCACCGGTGTCAATCCACCACTCTTTTGGCTTTGAACCCACCATGTTCACTTCAGAAATTACGATTGTGAGATTCATTTCTGAGACATCTTGTGCCATGTAGTCAAGCACATTGCTTCTTTCGTCTTCTTCTTTAGCAATCTGCACTCGGAAGACTTGTGACCTACTTTGTCACAATTGAAGTATTTTCCTTGAAATTTCTTCTTAGAAATTCCACATTTCGATCCTTGTTTGGTCCTTTTTCCACCGGATGGCCCAAACTTATTTTTATAGGTCTTATTGCTTTGACCATGCTCCACAACATTGGCTTTAGCCACACCAGGATTGAACCATTTCTTTTTGAAACTTTTGTTGTCTTCTTTAATTCGAAGTCTAACAATAAGTACTTCAACGTTCATTTCTTTTCGTTTGTGTTTCAATTAGTTTTTGAAATCTTTCCATGCAGGGGCAATTTTTCAATAATTGCAGCCACTTGAAAAGTTTCACTCAACACCATCCCTTCGGCATGAATTTCATGAAGAATCACTTGGAGTTCTTGCACTTGACTGATTACAGTTTTGGAGTCCACCATCTTATAGCCTAGGAATCTGTCGACTAAAAACTTTTTAGCCCCGGCATTCTCAGTTTTATATTTTCGGTCCAAAGACTCCCACAACTCTTTAGCAGTTTTCATAGTGCTATATATATTGTATAGCGCGTCTGCTAAACTGTTCATAATGTAATTTCGATATAAAAAGTCCGAATGCTTCCAAGCATCAAGTGCATTGATTGTTTGAATATCTCCTTCTCCTTCATTGAGTACAGGAGCAGTCTCAATCAAGAATCTCGCAAGATTCAAGGTGGTCAGGTAAAACAACATTTTTTGCTGCCATCTCTTGAAATTCAAGCAACTAAATTTCTCCGATTTCTCCCCATGATTAACCGGAACAATAACCGCTTGGCCAATTGTTGGAGCCACAGTTTGACTCACAACACGACTTGACAAGTTAGCCACAGCAGAGCTTGGCCCTTGAGTCACAGTAGAGCCCACAAGTTGATTTCCTACAGGAACAGTTTGGGTCACATCTATATTGGTTGGTTCGGCAGCCATTTCTGAAAATGAAACAAATATAAGTTTCCAATAAACAAATAAACTTTTTTACTACCAATATGTATTAAAAAATCTGTCTTAAGTTTGGTGGTAAATTTAATTGATATTGGAATCGAGTTCTCATATACCGTATTAGTGATTTAGACATCGGATTCACGCTTACCGTATTTAACAGCTGCTTATCGTATTTGGTAGCTGCTTACCGTATTTGGCAGCTTACGTATATGCCAGTCAGCTTTCTGTATTTGGCACAGAATTTCCACAAACTAGTTGTTTCATATAATGACTTTTGATAACATAGAATTTGATGTTTGTTTTCACATACTTTGCACAAACACAGTTTCGTATACAAAAAAAATTCAGATAAATTTTTTTTTCTATTTTTTTTCACAAAGATACAGAATATTATCTGTATTGTGAGAATTAAAACAAATTACACTACTTGAATAAGAATGATAAATTATATTACTTGCAGAAATATAAAAGCAGTATAAATTCCAGAAAGCTAAATAAATCTGAAAGCTTGCTAAAATAAATCTGGAAGGCTTATAATTCTGCAAAAAATTAAGGCATAGATATTTAAACTGGAAGCATATAAATTTGGAAATAAACTTTTTAACCTGAGGTCTGTGTAAACACACTAACACAGTTTCCTTAAAACAGATTCGCCCCCTCACCGTGGTGCTAGAGGTCTAGTTCGAGCGCCTGTCTCCTAGGATACAACGGTAATCAGCAGAATTCGAGCACCGCGATTCTACTTCGGCGAACTAACTAAGTGTACGAACAATATCACCTTACTGGAATGGACATAGGAAGAGATGGAACCGAACAGAAAATCGAACTGTATGCAGTGAGATGAAAATGCAGTGTGTAAACCGCTAGAAAAAGAATGAAATTATACAGACTGAATTTGTCCATTAGTTTTTGCATTAACCATTGCAGTTTATGGAGTTACACTTCGGTTTCAACCACTGGAGTTTTAGGAGTTTCAGACACTCAAAAGTCATTTAAAAAAATTAAAAAAAATTACAAAACACGGACAATCCAAACTGGCCAATTTTTTATCCGTTCGGTCCGACATTCGTGTGCACAGGTCGGCAGGTCACACCCGCACCCAAGTTCAAGGTCCGAAGGCTATTTCGGTCCGTGATTTGCACCCCCTACGTGCGCATATGGAGAGAGCTTCTATGCTACACATGATCACACCATTCCAATGCATAGCCATGTATAAAGTGATTTTAGTTTCCATTGTTTTTCCTATGTGGGACAAAGTTAACAAAATTTTTCCCACCAACATAGACAATTTCCAATGGTCCACTTTGAACTCCAATTTTTCATTCACCCGAACTTCATTTTCGACAAATAAATACATGAATTCGATGTTCTCGCGAAGGAAAACACATATCAACTTTGATATTCCAAATTGGACCAATGGGTCCCACCAAAAATTGTGCCAAAAGTGAGACACTCACTTATTTTTTCCAACAATCATGGTAGATACTGTAGTGGATTAAATTTACCAGATACTCAATGGAATAATTCAAACAAGCCATTGATCGATATCAATTCTTCAGAAATGTTGCATAATGACTTTATTATTATATCAAATCTAGGAATATTTTGAGGCTCCTCTATGGGACGGCAGAACTGGGAAATACTTTGAAATGTCTACTTCATTTGCAGAGCACGACAATTTGTTATAGCATGAGGTAATTGTTTGGGTGGTGCTGGATCATAGAGCCAACCTATAAGTACATGAATTTCTTCTATAACTAATTGATGAGTGCTACTTCTATCAAAATTACAGTTTGACTCCCAACTATGAAATGAAGAAAATTATAGAGATTAATGGAAACTCACATTCATATAAAATAACATAGTCGTTTAATTGGAGATTGACACTATAGACTTCAAATTACATACAAGAAATTGAAATTCCTGGGATTCACCTAATTCCTAATTTTCTAGCCTAAACACAAATTGAAACATAAACGGTTCAAGTTCACAAAGCTCCTCCATTTGGTTCCTTGTTTTCTACTTGCTTCTCCTTTTCCCTTGCGGAAAGTAAATTTGACTGAAATGTCCACATCCTTTTCTTCAGTTATTTTAGCAACGCTCTTCAACAAACTTGATAACTCTAGCTCATCATCGGACGTAGCATTTGATAAATCCCCTTATTCCTTCCTGTCATTAAAGTATGCTATTGCAGCCACAATAAAATTTCAGAAAAGGGGAAAAAAGCAAGCAGCTGAGGGAAAAAAATACAATTACAAAGGAACAAATACCTTACTACAAAATACAAAATGATATTTTAAAATACACTATTGCAGCCACCAAAAATTCAGATTTGTATCATATATAATCCACTTCTTCTTCAAAGGTAATATAAAATGAAGAACATTTACACAACCGAACGTCACTTCTAATGATGTGTCAACCAATTTACAACCTACTAGATTTCCAGTATCGAATCATCCAAGATAAGAATTCGAGTACTTATCTAGTTTGGAAGATCCACATCGATCAAAAGTGATGGGGTGGATTTTCTAAATCTTCGTGTGAGACTCAGGAGAAATCGACTTGGAGAAGATGGTTGTCGAGGTTAAATTAGGGTTCTTCACAGATTTGGGAGAAACTTCATTTTGGGAAGGAGATAGATTTAACAGGGGAGTCAGGTCTCTTTAGTTTGGTTTTGGATGAAAAACATTTTTTTTAATTGTTGAAGGCTTGTTTGGACACGCTTTTGCTGATGTGGATGGTGCGTTGGCAATTCACTTGCCACTTGGAGACATTTAACCGGCCAGCTGAGTTTTTCGTCGTCCACGTAATCACATTTACTAATGGTTGTCTTTCGTTGGGTGATGGAGATGGACAGTACAAAATTCAGTGGCCAACGGGACGATTTGTGAAGTTCAGTGGGTAAGTCGTGACATGGTATCAAGTTCAGTGGCCAATGAAACATTTATAATTAGGCATCGAACTAGAATTTCATAAAATCTAATTTCATCTTTTCTAAGTTAGTCAGCATCCAAACAGGGGCCTCGAATTAGAGAAACCCACAAATTAATTCTAATCAGGGCCATTATCTACTAAATGAACAACACAGAAAACTTCAATCTTGAAAACAATATACGAAATGAAAGAGATATTAAGGGACAAGAATCGATTACTTGTAATTTTTCTGCAAATCTGCTTCTTGTATGAATTCCTGCACGAATGATTACTTGTAATTTCTTCTGCAAATCAGATTCTCACCATCTCTTTGACCCTAGATAAAACGAGTTTTAGGATTTGAGAAAGGGAAATTAGGCCTGGTTTATGCCAGATTTTTTTTTTTTCAATTTTTTTTAAAGAGGCCCCTGAATTCATGGGGACCTAGGCGGCTGCCTAGTTGGCCTTGGCCCAAGTCCGGGCAAACTGCTTATGAATTTTGCTTCCTGCTTTATGTCCTATTATTCCACATTGTGTATAATGTTTATTTATAAATGCTTTTATGTGAAGTCAGACAAAAGCGACATACTACCCTACATTTGCTTATGATAATCATAGACCATATAAGATGGATGATGATGTGAACACGGTTAGAAAGGTTGCAATCGAATCCACAGGAATTGACACTGGATCCCAAAAAGTCCAAATACGACCAAGGTTTACGAATCGACCTGCAAAAGTGGACCAAGCAACCAATAATATATTAAATTATCGACCTCTTAATCACACGATTTTGAAACCTCCTCCGAATTTGTGGATTTGAATCCCAAAATAATGAATTAAGCAACCAAAGGTATATAAAACAATGACCTCTTAATTACAAGATTTTGAAAATCGCACCCGATAATTTTGAACACCACAAGATCTGTTAAATCTTGATAAATTCGATAATTTGAAGCATCACGCCTCGAACGAGAGAATTCTCAAGTTTAATTCATAATATCAAAAGTTCTAAGTTACAATGAAAAGTAAATTCCTATTTATACTAGAAATTATAGAAACCTAATTAAAGATGGAAACAAACACTAAAATATGGTAAAATGTTGTTGACCTCGGAAATTGGGCCCTCCACCTGGCCAACCGATAGTCACTCCACGTATTCCTCCCTACGCACAATCAACGCACAGTCAGATGCACACGGCCAGAACCAATGGGGGTGGCGACGATCGTATACACTCTGACGGTCAAGTTAGGTTCAGGTGATCGGAACAGTACCAATGTTATGCAAAATAGTGTGGAGGAGAATATATATTCGCTTACTATGGAGTGCTAAGTAGTAAGAGTTTCATTATCTTTGCCTCTTGCCAAGCCTTGGGTATTTATAGGTGAGGAGAACAGTTGGATGTGGGACACGTGTATACATTTGAACGGCATGAGGCGTCTGCTCATAGGTGTCAATCAGCCACGTCTATAGAGTGGATGGGTAATTACTTCTCCCGAGTTGAGTTGACATAAAGTTGATATGTCACGTCAACTAGTCTCATGGAGACATCAAATCACTTTAAACCTTGGGGACAGAAAAGATCTTGACAAAGATCTCATTCTGAAATTGGCGGCGGATCCTCTAGCCGAGGTCCTCGGAGTGCATTTCACCTCGGATTCAGGGGCGAGGGCGCTTCGATGGTCTCGCAAGATTACCTTTGCCTTACCATTGGTGAAGCCACTTCGGATGAGTGCTCCACACCTCGGATGATGTGGTGGTGGACTTTCCGAAGTGGTTCAGATAGGGGTGTAACAGCGGTCCTCCAAGTCCAGGTATGAATATTTATATCATGGGTGGACTTGTCTTCCCGATCGGGTATGTACGCCTTGGTATGGGGATCGTGATTTATGAGAACTTGAGGGTCGATTTTTTGTGTTCACCGAGGCGTTGATCCTAGGCAGATGCACTAAAGCTTTACCACCCGTGAGGGAAAAATTTACTTGAGATGGAGGTGCTGCAGAATTGGACGATGCGCAGGGAGACGATTAACACGGTGATTGAGGTGAGGACCCACATGGAACTCCGCGTCGGGTGCGTCTAAACTTTGTAAAGTTGAGTGAGGAGCTCATCTGCCATCGGTGCACTGACCCACAGGGGACGACGCGTTGAAAGATGGCAAAAACTTTGTAAAGCTTAGGGAGGAACGCAGCGACCGAGGCGATGACCCACAGGGGACTCCGCGTCAGGTGCTCCTAAGTTTTGTAAAGTTGAGTGAGGAGCTCATCTGCCACCGGTGCACTGACCCAAAGGGGATGACGCGTTGAAAGATGGCTAAAACTTTGTAAAGCTTAGGAGGGAACGCAGCGATCGAAGAGATGACCCACAGGGGACCCGCGTTAGGTGCGTCTAAGCTTTGTAAAGTTAAGTGAGGAACTCATCTGCCACTGGTGCGCTGACCCACAGGGGACGACGCGTTGGGAGATGGCTAAAATTTTGTAAAGTTTAGGGGGAAACGCAGCGACCGAGGCGATAACCCACAGGGGACTCTACGTCAGGTACGCCTAAACTTTGTAAAATTGAGTGAAGAGCTCATCTGCCACAGGTGCGCTGACCCAAAGGGGACGACGATTTGGAAAATATTTAAAACTTTGTAAAGCTTAGGAGGGAACGCAGCGACCGAGGCGATGACTCACAGGGGACTCTGCATCAGGTGCGCCTAAGCTTTGTAAAGTTGAGTCGACCCGAGGTGGGCGTATCTGAAGTTAATGATTTGACAGCTGTTGCGTATTTCTAAGGTGACAGTTGGGTGCAGCGCCCATTTTCCTAAAAGGTTGCTACGACTACTTATTGTTGACGACCAGTGGTGATCGAGGTGATGCGTTATATGCGAGCGTGAGGGTCACAGCAAAATCTTTGGCGTAGATCAAATCGGCATTTCATTTCAACGGCCTAGATTGATGATGTGACGGACGGCCTAGATTGATTGCATTTGAATTCAACGGTGGAGATTAGTTGGAGCGCTCTATAAAAGGCAGACTTGAGTGTTTTTGGAGCTTTTCACACTTGCTAAAACAGAAAATCCCATTGCTCTCAAACTTCTTTGCGATTTTCGACGTTCTTCAAGCATTTTCGGTGAGAAATTCAATTTTTCGACAACCACACACTGCTTTTTGACCATTTCCGGCTGGGGAACACTCAAACTCGTAAGTTTCAGTATATATGTGAGACATTTCCTTTCTGAAAATGGCTTCTGAGGGTAGTGCTAGTTCGGGGAGGGGGCTAGAGTTAGTACGGATAGACGAGCCCATTGTGGCGACCTCCTCCTAGGTAGCCAAAGCGATACTTGGGAAAGAGAACATTTGGAAGAGGCTGGATAGCCTAGCAAATACCTCTGTGCATTGGGGGGCGTCGGATTATCCCTCCAAGCTAAAGGGGGCCGACCTAGGAAGACTTAGAACTGAATGTAGGATACCAGATAGTGTGGACCTGATCCTACCCGAGCTTGATGAGAGGGCCTGCTACCTTAGGCCGAGGTGTGTGGCGATAAGCGAGGTGATCCTTAGGGCCGATCTTAGGCTTCCAATTCACCATTTTTTTCGAATGGTGCTTAGGTCTTATGGCTTAGCACCGACCCAACTGAACCCAAACTCCTGGAGCGAAATAGTGGGCTTCTGGATGTTATGAAAAGAGGTGTCACTGGGGATGGAGATGCCCTTCTCTATTTTTCAGACCCTCTACATTCCCAAAGTAACAGCCGGAGGGATAAGACCAGGGGCTGGTATTACCTAACCTCTGGGGTTCCCACACTACATTTGTGCGCGATCTGCTGAGCTCCATCAAGGAGTGGAAGAGCTTGTGGTGCTGGGCTGTCGGGAGATAGGACACGATGGAGGGAGACCCCCTGGCACCTCTTACGGTCCCCAAGAATTATTCTTCACTTAGTGAGTATTGTAGCTGTATTTCTTGTTTATTTCTATTCGGTTCAGATCATAACTAACATTCGTGTTCATTTTTGAAGGCACTCTTCCTCGATGCGAGTTGTCCTCTGACGACTTCGAGATCATCTACGTCATATATCAGCTACCTCCGAAGAAGAGGTCGTTCCATCGGCTGATCAGAAAGAACCTCCATTTTGTGACGCACGACCTGATGGCCTCACAAGGTAATATCTCGAAGCGAATACCTTTCAGTACATCCGAGTCGTTTACAGTTGTACTAATTTACTTTTTTCTTTCAGATAACTTCAATAAAAAGATGCCTTTTCGGCCCGACTTCAAGACAATACAAAAGATGATGGCCAAAGAGAGGGCCTTGAAGACCTCCTCCTCCGCCTATAAGAAGCAGATGGAGGACTTAGTGAATGCCAGCAAGAGGCTCCCGCCTACGACGGAAGAGGAGGTGCCCGAGGATCCCGAGGCCAATCTACTTCGGAAGGGCAAAAAACCTGCTGCCCCTTCAAAGCGGCCAATGGTGGAAAGGCCACCCCCCATTCTGAGACAAACTACAATTCCTACCGAGGTGGCCATTCTGGAGAAAATGCCTGCTCCATCAGAGGCTTCTCCCGCCTCGGCCAGAGTGCCAGTTACTGCTGTGCCCCTCGCCCAGGTGCCGAGACAGCCCAAGAGGAAAAGAGCTCGTCCCTCAGAGGAGGTAGACTTCTTAGGCACAAACTCCGAGGAGCTAGTTAAAGAAGTACTGGAGGCTCTCTCCCTAGGAATGGCTACAGTTGTGGTGGTCCACAATAAGTACTGGATCGAAGAATG